CTGGGCTGATTTTGTATAGCTGGAAAAGCAGAAGTGGGTTAGCTCACTGGAAGGTATTTCAAAATAACCTTTCTCTTTTTTTTTTTTTTTTTTTTTAATGTAGGATTTGGATAAGAAGCTTCTGAAGTTAAACAGACAGATACAATGTTCAAAGACATTATGGGTCAAAAAGACATTGCTGGGTACCAGAGATGTCTGGTGTGGTTCTTACTGAGGCAAAAGCCACCATTTATGCACTTTCCTACAGGGATCATAGAGACAGAACTCAAACTGGCCACATCCTTGGAAATGTTAAGGACAGAAGGACCCTGGGAGTGTCTGACCGGGGCATGTCCCCCGTGCTCTTTGTGCTGCTCCGTTTGCTCACTCACCTGTCAATGCTGCTGGGAGCCACCAGAGACCTTCAGGTACCTGCCAAAAATGCTTCCAAGTGGTCACAGTAAATGCAGGGAAACCTTGGAATGCTGCTGGTCCTGTTCATCATATTGCTTGCCAAGATGCAGCACCCAGATTCCCTTTCCTCCTTGCCCAGGGGTGATTTTGGATCCTTCCCTGCAGGCACAWCCACCCATCCCTGCCTTGATGGGCCCAGGGCAGGAATGCCCTGGCTGGGGGTGTCTGGCAGGACTGAGCTCTGTGTGGTTGTGCTTCCCTGGATGATTTTGGCTGTGCTGAGCTCTTGCTTTGTTGTCTGTAGTCCCTGGAAGGCATGATCAAGGCGAAAGTGGACGATGTGGTGAACTTCCTGCAGCAGCACATTCAGGAGGACTTGGCACAGCTGATGAGGATTTTGGGGAAGAGTGTGGATGACACCCTCAGCATCGTTCATCTGGTGCTCTGCAGCCTCCTGCAGGCCCCCCAGCAGCAGCCAGGCCAGTGTAAGAAAACCCTTCTGCCCTCTCTTTGAAGGGCCATGGCCATGCAGCCTCTGCTGATAAAMCACTTCCAGCAGCAATAGCTGAGCTGAAGGAAAATCCAGAGTTTGAAGCTTGTTTCTCATTGTAGGGAGGGAAGAACTTTGGGCTGTTTGCTTCCCTTCAGTTGAGTGGGGTTTGCAGAGTTTGGTGCAGTCAATAACTCTGAAAATGAATTATTGACGGAATAACGTCATGAGAGATTGGCAAAGCTTCCAGCTCCTGAGCAGGGCTGCTGCTCCCAGCACTGCAGCTCGTGCTGTGTGCAAGCTGTGCTCTCTGCTGCCTCTCCAATTCTCCCAGAAGTTCTTTGGGAGAAGAGGGATGGCACAGTGGGGCTCATGCTGGGATCTGGAGTCGTTGTGGCACAGAGGGATTTGTGTGTAAATASCCTGTATTTCGAGTGTGGGATGGCACCAGTCAGTATTGCAAGCTTCAGTSTGTCATTGWYCAWGGTCWGACCWTGRWCAATCTGTTCAATCTTTCTGGGGTTGTGGAGGACTTGTATAAATGTCCCCATCACTCACATGAATGACTGGCTGAAGCTCCTGTAAACCTGGATCTGTGTGTGGTGTTTGGGTGTCACTCTTCAGCTGGACCAAGACACTCAGTGAACTTCCAGGACCTGTRAATCTGTGCTTTCTTTTCACTGAAATATTGCAGATGTAAGAGGTGAAATATTCCTGTTGCAGGGCCGGTGGAGTTTGATGATGTTCTCTCCACCAAGGAGGAGAGAAACAAATGGGAAGAAATGGTKGCAAACACAATCATTGCTCCTGAACTGAAGGTGAGAAATCTGCTGTGCAGTCAGCAGCTGAGCAGTTCAAAATGCACTGGAAATCTGATAATATCTGGAATATCTGTGCTGTAATATCTGTGCTACACCTTTCACCCTAAAGCCATCCCATGCATGGCACAGCTGCAGGATCAGGCACTGCTATTCTACCTGGGGAAATGGGACTGGAGTTATTCTGGGCTGATTTTGTATAGCTGGAAAAGCAGAAGTGGCTTAGCTCACTGGAAGGTATTTCAAAATAACCTTTCTCTTTTTTTTTTTTTTTTTTAATGTAGGATTTGGATAAGAAGCTTCTGAAGTTAAACAGACAGATACAAGAGGATGAGAGAATCTCTTCTAACCCCATTGTGAAAATAGTGTATGGGGACCCAGCTGCATTCCTGTCCCGGCTGCCAGGGGACAGCCACATCCATCACTCCAAGATGTGGAGCTGCCGAAAGAGGGTTTCACTGGAGAACCTGGGCCACGTTGTGCAGCAGAAAAATGCCAAGGACAGCGTCCCTCTCCTCTGGAAGTTCCTGCAGAAGGTGGGGGTGGCACAGGAATGAGAGCCCAGCATGTTCAGAGATAAAAAYACAGAAGCACAGAACTCCAGGCCTGGCTTGGGGTGGTCACCTGGGGCAGCTGCCCAGGACCAAACCACATTTGGATTATCCAGTGTCTTTGTTCTCACTTGCTGTAGTCTGGAGAATGCACATGGGAGATAGCTTTTAAATATTTAAGAAGTAATTCCATAAAACAATTCACAACTGGTTTGTCCAAGTTCCCTTGGACACAGGTTCCCTTTCCTCTTCCAGGAAACTGAGCTGAGGCTGGTGAAATTCCTACCAGAGATTCTGGCTCTGCAGAGAGACTTGGTGAGGCAATTCCAGAACACAGCAGAGATCAAACGCTGCTCCATCAGGGAATTCCTCTGGGAACCCCACTCAGGTGAGGAGACTGCCAAAACTGTGATTAATAAAATAGAAACTGCTGGATTGTCCAGTTAATGTGAGTTTTCATCTTCACTTTTTTCTTTTTAACTCTCATCCAAATAAAGGGGAGACCTTAACCCTGGGTATGGTTGAAAAAGATGATTTTAGAGGGAATTAAGTACTGGAGATTTTTCACAAGGGTTGGAGCCTGGAGTTCAGTGGTGTGCTTTGAAGATCCCTCACCAGGAAAARGTGTTCCATCGATTTATCTTTCTTTTGTTTCTCAGGTGTGATGAGGGACCTTCTGGAGAGGAGAGTGAATGTGTTTCTGTCTGTCTGGAACAAGCTGAGAAGCTCCCTGGACACCAATGGTGAGCAGCTTCTTTCCCATCCTGTTCCTCCACTGCTCCTCATCCTCAGTTTGGGTTCTTCCCACCGGTGATGCTGAGACATTGCCTCAAAACTGAGCTTGGCCGTTGGATTTGAAGAGTCTAGGTGCAAAGAAAAGGATTTGTTTCCCCTCTTGCAGTGAACTTTTTCCTTTTCTTGCTTGTCCCTACCACCAAGAGCATGGCTTTTCTCAGGCTCTGGGCCTCCTCAGACACTCCTCTCTGTATTTCAGGGGAAATCAAGCTGCCCAAAGGCTACTGTGATGCYGAGCTGAGCGTGGAGAGCAGGCTGGAGGTGCTGCTGCCGCGGCGSCAGGGGCTGGGGCTGTGTTCCACTGCCCTGACCAGTTACCTCATCGGGCTGCACAACGACTTCGTGCACTCGGTCAACAGACACATCAAGGAAGATGATAGGTGTGCTGCTGCTGCTCCAGCTTGGGGCTCTGCTGCCTTTCCTGCCTTTCCTGCCTTTCCTTCCTCTCCCTCTGAACGGAGGCTCTTTGCTCCCTGCAGGTATTTGATCAGCCCCTCGGAGGTGGCCGACCTGCACCTGATCAGTTATGAGGTGGAGAGAGACCTGATCCCTCTGATCCTGTCCAACTGCCAGTACAGCATGGAGAAGGGAGGGGAGACCTTGCAGGACTTTGATCTGGAGAGGATCCAGCAGCAAGTGATCAGCAAGTTCCTGCAGGGGAAGCCGCTCATCACGCTGACAGTAGGATGGGAAGGGGCTGTGCAGCCAGGAGGGCACTGGGACCAGTTTGCCACAACTTCACATCCRTGGCTTTCTCTCCTGACAGGGAATCCCCACCCTGGTGTACAGGCATGACCGCAACTACGAGCAGCTGTTCAGTGATGTCAGGAATAAGCTGGAGCAGGTGGGTTTCTGCACTGCAGGAGACAGGGCAAGCATCAAATCCCTGATTTTCCAAGCGTTTTCTGTCCTTTGCCTCATCCATCCAAAGCTTGCCCAGTGACTTCTCAGCATGCCTTGGGTGTGGGCAATCTGGCCTGGTGTTGTCAGCCAGGATTTACAAAAGAAAGGGATATAATTCAGCATTTCAGTTTCCTAAATCTGGTGCTCYGTTGTCTCCCATGACTTCAGCAACTTGAACAGAAAAAGGAATGGCTCTAAAATAATGTAAAGTGTGACTTTGTGGTTTTCAGAGTGCTCTGCCCAGTTCTGTGATGAACATGATCAGTGGGGAGCTGCAGTCCTACAGTGATGTGTGTGATGCTCTGTCTCTCACTGAAATCACCCTGGGCTTCCTGGCCATGGCTGGTGAGAACGCTGAGATGCCGCTCACCGACTACATTGAACAAATTCTGCAGATGGGGGACCAGACAAACCCTCACGTGCTGCAGGTGAGGGCAAAGCTCGGATTCTGACAGGCTAAGATCTGCCCTGCTTTATGCTAAATCCAGCCAGTGTGACCTTCAAGCCCTGAATGTGTGACAGAGCCCTCTCACTTTCACGATACCAAAAACTGGATTATTAAAGGCAAATGGGGAAGGGTGAGAGGGACACCCATTGCAGATGGGCTCCACTCAGGCTAAGGGGCTGGATGAGCTCTCTCTGGGCAGGGATGGGTTCCAAGGTCATCCCTCACCTCCAATTTGTGCTTTTTTTCCAGGCGCTCAGGCGGTGCCAGCTCAGGCACAGCATGGCCCTGTGGCAGCTCCTGTGTGCCCGTAAATCTGAGCAGCTGCTGCGCCTCAGCAGGGTATGGAACCCCCAGCACCCCTCTGACCTCCTCCTCTGCTCTGTCCTGCCCTKCCTGCAGCTGCTCCAATGCTTGTTTGGTTTTTTTTCTTTTTTCCCTTGCTGCATTTTTAGGATCCTTTCGCAGACATCAGTCCAGACTACAAAAARGAGCTCACGCCAGAGCTTGCCAAGCTCCTGCACACCTTCCTTGTCCACTCAAGGCTGGAAACCTTCCTGCAGGAGCTGCATGAAATGATCATCCTGAAGCTGAGACGTGTCCAAGCTGTGGAGGAATTCAGACCCACGTGGAGGTAGGAGTTCCACACCCAAACCCACCACAGGTTTTACTGACTGAGGCTGCACAGGATGGGAACAGCTCCTTTGGGGGGACACGGCCCAGGCAGCTCAGCTCTGCCCTGCAGCCTCCCCTTGCTGGGTTCTGTGCATCCACCTACACCCATTAAACTGTGTTTTTGGTAGTTGGGGTGGTGCAGGGCATTGACATTGTGTGGCCCTTGTGCTTTGCTGTACTACTAATGCTGTTCTGCTCTGTTTTCCAGCCTGAAGGAATCATTCTTGCCTTACCTTGATGCCAAAGACTCTGAATTAGTTATGGAACTGGAAGACACATTCCCAGATGAGATTCTTCTCTCTCATGTCTCTGCTACCTGGAAAGCAGCCGCTCTCTTCAAGCGGGAGCACAGGGGAAGTTAGGACAAGAAACTGCCAGGAAACATCTGTGTTGGGGCTTCTGGAACTTTGGGCATTTGTTTGGGGGTTGTTGGTTATTCTTTGGGTTTGGGGTTGTTTTTGCACATGATGTGGAGAGGAGAGGTGGCCGTGGAGCAGGAGGGTGAAACAGATGCAGCAGTTCTGTGTCAGTCCTGGCTGACCACAGCCCCAGAGCCACCCGAGGAAGATGAAGGACTATTTTACAAACCACGCTGCCCTGGTGCTGGGACGGCGATTTACACAGTTTTTCACTCTGCATTTCTGCCGGCACTGGGAGGCAGAACCGGCTGATGCCCAGCACCGCTCCCTGCAGCTGGGACGGGACCAGGAGGGACTCGGGGCTCCTTCCCTGCCTTAAGGGCGGCAGCCGCTCCCCGCTGCTGCCCCGTGCCTTTCCCAATAAACTTGTTCATCTCCTGCCTCCTTCCCGGCTCGGTTCAGTGCTCGGAACAGCCGCTCCCGGCTCGGTGCTCGGTTCTCGGGCCCGGAACAGCCGCTCCCGGGTCGGTGCTCGGTGCTCGGAACAGCCGCTCCCGGGTCGTTTCTCGGTTCTCAGTGCCGGAACAGCCGCTCTTGGGCCGTTTCTCGTTTCTCGGTGCCGGAACAGCCGCTCTTGGGCCGTTTCTCGTTTCTCGGTGCTCGGAACAGCCGCTCCGGGCCGTTTCTCGTTTCTCGGTGCCGGAACAGCCGCTCCCGCCTCCTTCCCGGCTCGTTTCTCGGTGCTCGGTGCCGCTCCCCGGCTCAGTGTTCGTTTCTCGCTGCTCGGAACAGCCGCTCCCGGGCCGTTTCTCGGTGCTCGGAACGGCCGCTCCCGCCTCCTTCCCGGCCCGTTTCTCTGTGCTCGGGGCCGGAACAGCCGCTCCCGGCCCGTTTCTCTGTGCTCGGGGCCGGAACAGCCGCTCCCGGGCCCGGTTCTCGGTGTTCGGTGCTCGGAACAGCCGCTCCCGGGTCGTTTCTCGGTTCTCAGTGCCGGAACAGCCGCTCTTGGGCCGTTTCTCGGTGCTCGGGGCCGGAACAGCCGCTCCCGGGTCGGTGCTTTGTGCTCGGAACGGCCGCTCCCGCCTCCTTCCCGGGTCGTTTCTCGTTTCTCGGTGCTCGGAACAGCCGCTCCCGGGCCCGGTTCTCGGTGTTCGGTGCTCGGAACAGCCGCTCCCGGGTCGTTTCTCGCTGCTCGGAACAGCCGCTCCCGGGCCGTTTCTCGGTTCTCAGGCCCGGAACAGCCGCTCCCGGGTCCGTTTCTCGCTGCTCGGAACAGCCGCTCCCGGGCCGTTTCTCGTTTCTCAGTGCCCGGAACAGCCGCTCCCGGGCCGTTTCTCGGTTCTCAGTGCCCGGAACAGCCGCTCCCGG